TTACCATAAAATAAAAGGGTCTAGCCTCTAAATTCTTAGACTGTGTTTTCACAGGACTGAATTGGCAATACTTGCATTCAGCTCTAATTTGGGGTTATGATTATAGTTGCCTGTTCTAAAACAAAATATCTTGCCATTTGTAATTCTCTACATTTCTAAAATATGATTGGACATGAAAGGACAAAGTCCTTTCTTTCCACAACAGAAAGTTCAAGTTGGAGCAATTATTTTTCTCCCAAATGGTAGGTTTGGGGAAGTGTGTCTAACAGGTTTGCTATCCTACCACAGGAGGACATCTCTAGACTTCGAAGGAAGCTGGAGACCACTAAGAAACCAGACAATGTACCCAAATGTGATGAGATTCTGATGGAAGAAATTAAGGATTACAAGGTTAGACAAATGGCCTCAGTGATTTCTTTGTGTTTTTTGTCAAGGCCTGAAGTGGCCTACGAATGGACTGGAGAATAAATACTGCACTTCTTTACATGACAGTAACCAGAGAATGGTTTATTTTGGAGGTGGTGGAAAGTGGTACTCTTGTCTTAGTGCCTTGTGGGTTTTCTTGCTGTTTGTTTGCTTATATATGAGAACCATTTGGATCATGAACCTTTATGGTTGCTGAGACTCTGACTTTTTTTCTTTTTAGGCACGCCTTACCTGTCCATGCTGTAACATGCGTAAAAAGGATGCTGTACTTACCAAGTGTTTTCATGTTTTCTGCTTTGAGTGTGTGAAGACACGCTATGACACCCGCCAGCGCAAATGTCCCAAGTGTAATGCTGCTTTTGGTGCCAATGATTTTCATCGCATCTACATCGGTTGACCCAAGTCGAGAGAAGAAGAGGAGCTGGCTAGACAGGCACTTATTCGTTAACCACCAAGCCTCTACCTCTTCTCTCCTTGACAGTCATCTCCAGGACAGTTTTTCTGTCAACTACCTTTCCTCCACAGACTTCACATCGAGGCTTTCCTCTCCAGTAGGTGGATGACTTTAGCAGAAAGGACTGGTAAATGCAAATCTTGGGTTTTAGAATGAATTAGAAGCAAACAACTCTTATTTGTTTTCCCTACCAGCTTTGTTTATTTCCTGCTTTTAGACTTTTCAACATTTTCTTTTTCTGGCCCACTGTATCCATTCCTCCTGAAGAAATCAAGATGGTATTTGTGACATAGAGAAGGAAACAGAGAGTGAAACATGACTATTTTGGGGGATTGATCTTTTAGAAATAAGCTAGCCTTGGACACAAACTTTTCTTGATTGGGGTAGTAAATTTTTATAAACTTGGATTATAAAATGGTATAATTGTGCCATTCTTTCCTGGATGGTTTGAAGCCCTAATGAAATTATGTCCAGGATGATTGAATCCATTTCCTGTTTACTGGCATAGTAATTTGTTAAGGTCAGCTGGTTTTCTTGTTAAAAGTTATTTAAGTTTTGAATGTTCTGCTTAAAGTCTTTAAATTTCTTGATTCCAGAATAATTTCAAATGATGTAGCCCCTTTTGTCTTCTAGTGAAATCAAGTTTGGAGAGGGTGGGAAAGAGGCCTGAGATGGTAAAGAGGTCTTGTGGGTACTCTGGGAACTTGATACAGAGATGCGTTGGTGAGCTATGAATTATTTTCATCCTTCTTTCCATGAGGGTTTTTGTGATCCCTGTTCCCAGAAGACTTTCTGTAATATTTCTGTAGGACTTTATACTCCACAAGCTTCAATTAAAGCAGGATTCGGTTTACCTTTGTGTTCGTGGTTTCCTCTTTGAAACTTTTGTCTTTGTAATTACTAATTGATTTTATACCTGCTGTTCTGGAATCAAATCTCATGAGCAGAAATAATTAGTTTAGATTAAGAGATGGCTGTGTTTTAAAATGTTTTGTTCTTTGATTAATTGAAGCACTTTTCTCCCAGTTGTTTTATTGAGTCTGTTCTGAGGAGGAATTATGCCTTAAAAGATGATGACTTAGAACTTGGGGATAGGAAGTCAAAAAAAAAAAAAAAAAGATGATTTATTTGACTACTCAGTTCTTTTCTATTGTTCACTATGGGGGGTGGGCGTAAGAGATTGCGATTCATTTTTCAGGGAGTATAATGCTGCCTGGTGCTTTAATTTGAGGGTCTTGCATTATCTTTATAGTAACCAGCAAACCAGAGGTTTTCCATATCTCTGGTAAGGGTTATGTAAAGTGGATCTTTTTTTTTTTCTTTTTTACAACCTAGTCTTAGCAAAGTGGATCTTTCTTAATCACCACCTGTTCTAGAAGATGGGTAAGGGCAAATTCCATGTCCTTTTGTGGTCACCATCTATAATCAGTAGGATTTGTGATGAATTCCACAGAGTTGTGTGGTGTGGGTTAAGAAATGAGTCTAACTGGAGAACCTTACAAGGTCATCAAGAAAGGTGGATCGCTCTATCCCCCTGCCCAATACACACACACGACCATGATGGGGTTAGGCCCTGCTCCTGGACACATAGTGAGTTTGCGTTTAGTACAGGATACTTTCTTTTTGCTATTCACTCTTCTTATAGGGCAAGCTTGAACATAATTTTGTTGGCTTGGGGGGTAAATAGACTACTTGGACAGCAAGTGGTTTGGGTTTATGACAGTCGGCTGGGAAAGCCAGCCACTCAGCACCAGGGGACTGTGGGGCCCATGCAGTGTTGTGGAGAGAAACCATTAGATCCATGGGAAGCTAGATTTAGAGGAAGTACCTCAAGTTGAGAAGAGCCGGGAGGAACCTTGATCCCAACTATCTTGAGGTCCAAGAAATGCAAGGTGAACTCTCAAAGTTATTTTTCAGAAAATAATCAAAAACGGTGGTGAGTAACTTTTTGGCAGTGAGCTTCTGTCACTACAGAAGAGGTCAATGAAAGGGCTTCAGGAATACCCCCAAATAGCATACCAAGTGCTGTTTGTGTTGTTTGTACATTA